GGGTGGCTTAGTCGGTTAAGCGTCCGACTTTCACTTAGGTCATGATCTCGCGGTTCGTGGGTTCGAGCCCCGCGTTGGGCTCTGTGCTGACTGCCAGCTCAGAGCCTGGAGCCTGTTTCAGAGTCTGTGACTCCCTCTCTCTGACCCTCCCCTGCTCACACTGTCTCTCTCTCTCCTAGAAATAAAGCATTAAAAAAATTTAAAAAAAAAAAAAAATTATTTTACCATGAAATGGTGCCAGAAAAGGGGCTTGGCCAAACCCACAAACCGAAATAACAGCAGGGACCAGACTAAATGATCTTAAGGCTCATGAGTAGGTTCCCAGTTTATCCCACTGTCCCCTCTAATCCTGAGTCTATGAGCAGTACCTCATCTCAGGTCTGAAACTTTCCTTACAGTACCTAATGGGCAGTTAAGTCAGCAGGTTAACATCACTGCTGTCATCTTCCCGGCTCAAGTTGTACATTTTATACATGAAGCTAAAACTGAAAAAAGAAAAAAAAAACAACCTAGGTTTTTATAGACATTCATATGAAAACCCCCCTTACCACCCCCCCCCCAACCACTGCGTAAGAATGGGGAGGAGAGAAAGGAAGAAAGAAAATACCTCTCCAAGAGATATATTGTCTAAATCACCATCTAGAATCATAATAAAACTCCTCCTTGGTCCCTCCCCATCTGGTCCCACCCTGACCTGCCCCGCCCTACTCTCCACCCTGTGCCTCCACCTCTGTTAGCTAACCTACTGAGATCTGCTGCCTTTCTGGATGCAAGCTCCTGTTTTTACTCAACTTTGTTTTCCCAGTGCCTAGCAGGTAGTAAACACAAGTGACTTAGAAAGGCCACAGGAGCACATGGAGAGAGCAATATCAAAGGACAATGTCTAAAGAGAATGTAAGCTGTTCTTGGCTTAACATAAGCAATCGTCAGGACTACACAGGGCCTGCATGTCTGGGATCTACTATTTCCTCCTTTTTTAAACTAGTATTGGGGCACCCAGGTGGCTCAGTTGGTCAAGCATCTGACTCTTGATCTCTGCTCAGGTAACGATCTCATGGTTTATGAGTTCAGGCCCTGAGTCTGGCTCCACGCGAAGAGCACTAAGGCTGCTTGGGATTCTCTCCCCCTTTCTATCTGCCTCTCCCCTCTCACTCAAAATATTTTTTTAAGGGGGGGGAGGGGAAGAAACTAGTGTTTACATCACCCAGTTTAGTCAGGAATAGTTACCAGATATGTTGTGTAATGCCTCTAATGCCTCTCGCTCACCCATACCCCCACCCCCTGACCCTCCCCATGGAGAACCAGGATCAGTAACTAGAAAGTAAATGAAAGCAGATATAAGAAGACCCTGTATGAGAAACCCACGACTCTCTTGTGTCCTCACCTCAATAATCAGCATCTTCACCTATACAACTGCACTAGGTAAAAATCTAGAAGTCATCCCTGATTTCTTGCTACTCTCAACACCAATAATCTTTGATTGTGTCTCACTGCTCAATTCCTTCTACATACATACTCTCTCTCTTCACTGGAAACATCATCATTTCCTACCTATATAACCACAATAAGTCTCTTCCTAACTGGTCATTTTTGCCTATGGTACTCTAGCCCTCCAATCCACTCCCCAAACAGGTAGCCTTCTAAAATGCCCATAGGAGCATCACTTTGATATGAAGTTAAAATTCCTCAACCTGGGCAACAAACCTCTTTCAATGACTTGGTTTCTGCTCTACCTACCTTACCAGTCTCCTCTCATCTCAGGCCACATTCCCCCGTCTTTTGTTTTATGATCCATTCAAGAATCTTGAGAAATCTGGGGCGCCTGGGTGGCTTAGTCAGTTAAGCGTCCGACTTTCACTTAGGTCATGATCTCGCGGTTCGTGGGTTCAAGCCCCGCGTCGGGCTCTGTGCTGACTGCCAGCTCAGAGCCTGGAGCCTGTTTCAGTCTGTGACTCCCTCTCTCTCTGACCCTCCCCTGCTCACGCTGTCGCTGTCTCTCTCTCTCTCTCTCTCCTAGAAATAAATAAAACATTAAAAAAAAAAAGAATCTTGAGAAATCTGAGAGATGTAGTTAACCTCTTTGGGTCTGTTCCTCACCTACAGAATGGGAACAATAGTATATACTTCTCAGGGTGGTTATAAGAAGAAAAGAGTAAACATGTTAAATACTTGAGAGTAGTACGTGATAAATACAGTAAATGGCCAAAAACCTTACCTATTACCACCACCATCTCTAGACTTGCTATTCCTTCGGCCTAGTCTTATCTTTGTCTCCTCCTCAACTCTCCAAATCTCTTTTCCTCCTGCCTTATGTCTGTTTTTATTGAGATCTAGGCTTAGCCAACCTCTCTGAAGAAGCCTCCAAGGCTGGGTTCGTAACCATTTCTCTATGCTCTCATAGTGCTTACCCCGATTCACATACTTCTCACATGGCCTGTTTCCTTGCCTGCCTTCCCCACGACACTATATAGACCCCAATCCCCAAGCTTAGGACTGTGCATGTCATATGCTTACTAATTTCCCTGTAAATGGAAAACTTTCAAATAATGAAATGTCCAATGAAACCGTATCTCAACAGGTAGCCAAAATGGGACTTTAAAGTTTCTCAACTACAAGATCCTACCAATAAACAATTCAACACATTCTGACATTATCACATTCAGGGGTTTGGACTTAACACATAGGCAATGCTAAGCCATCAGATCTTTAAGGAAAGTGCAATATGCCCCGATCTGTTTGTTGCCCTATTACTCATCTCTGGAATACTTGCCACTCCCACCCTCTGTAGGTATCAGGACAAAATTCCATCTATCCTTCACAAAAACCACATTCCACCACCCCACCACCTCCTGAACACATAGAAAGGGAAAAAGTCAAACCAAAGGGAATTCTGAAAGTCTAAATGCATTTAACTTCATCTTAACCACCTGCAAACAATGAGTATCCATAAACACCCTCTAGGAACCCCAAACTAATCCCACTTGTGTGATTTTATAGAAAGAGGGCATAGAAAGAACATTTCATGAAGGTAATCCATTTAATCATCCTCTAAGTAGTTTTGATCCGAGCTGTCATAGCATTGCTATTCTTGATCACTGCGGCCTGATATGCCCAAACACTGGACAGTCAGAAAGGCAGGTGCAAACAAGACAAGGGTGGAGAGTCCTCTGGGTTCTATTTCAAGGGTAAAAGGTCACTTTGGAAGATACAGAAGGGGTGAGCACAGATCTCCAAAACGGGCTTCAGTGATAAGGAACTTCAATCCACAAAGGAGAGGAAAGGGGGGCAAGGAGCTTAACCAAAGGTATAACCAGGCCTCTGTTCCTGCTCTGGGAATGCATACCATACCCTACAGCAGATCAGGGCTAATCATTTTGCATTTACAAAGCACCCTGAGGTCAAGGGAGGTGCAAAGAGTGCCAGCTTTGCCAGTCACAAAAGGACAAAATATGTATAATCCTACTTATATAAGGTACCCAGAGTAGTCAAATTCAGAGACAGAAAATAGAATGGTGGTTGCCAGCGGCTGGCGGGAGAAAGGAATAGGGAGTTCGTGTTTAATGGGTACAGAGTTTCAGTTGGAGAAGGCAAAAAAGTTTAGGTAAGGATAGTGGTGATGGCTGCAAAACAGTGTGAATGCACTTAATGCCGGAGAACTGTCCATACAAAAGTGGTTAAAATGGTAAATTTTAGGTTACATATATTCTTACAAAAACAAACAAAAACACCCACACCGGCTTTAAAGTTATACTGTCTGCAGTTATCAATTACATGATCCTGATCAAGTCCTACAACCTCTCTAAGCCTATTTCTTCCTCCGTAAATCAGGGATAATACCTAATTCATACAGTTGCTCTGAGGAATGAGATACCCCACAGAAAGTCCTCAGCCCAGGAACTGGTATATGGTAAGTACTTAATATTAGCTATTATTTCTACTACTGCAATAGACTTTCAACGTCATTTCTCACAGTTCCCACACAAGCCTGTTGAGTTTACAGAAAAGTAAACAGGTTCACAGGGCCACAATAAGTGGCTCAATTTATGACGCCACATCAAATCCTCTGCCCATGAAAGGTGTCCTGCCTTTACAACTTGTTAATTTGGTGATCTAAGAAAGGCAGATTCCCCAAGGCAGACTGCTGTGTCTCCATTCTCAATTACAGCTGTAAAAAGGAGATGTAAAGCAAACTCTAAAAACTCCCTCCCAGAACTAATTAGAAATGAAATCATGATTCCTGAAGAGTACTATAAACCATAAATAATCATACAATAAAAATGAGAACTAGTACACCTGTACACAAAACCTGACTTCCTTTTAATTCAAAACCTAAAGCATGGAGAGTGGCTGGACCTAAACAACGTCTTCGTGATTTAAATATACTCAGGATTCCTGGTCTTAAGGCCTGAATATGTAATTTATTGCCCTTTCAAAAGGTGGCAAGGAATGGTAGAAATGTAACTATTACTGGACTGCAAAGCAGAAGACTGGGAATCCTAGTTCTGATTTGTCACTAAGGCAGTCTGTAAATTCAGACAACTTACTTCCCCTTTCCAGTGTTCAATTAACAGGGAAAAGGGACAAGGCAAACAAAAAAGTTAGACCAGACCGTTAAGACCCCTTCCAGCTCCTACAAACCACAACTTCTAAATCCAGAATTTTGTGGGGCGCGTGGGTGGCTCGGTCAGTTAAGCGTCCGACTTCAGCTCAGGTCATGATGTCACTGTCGGTGGGTTTTGGGTTCGAGCCCCGCATCGAGCTTTGTGCTGATAGCTAGCTCAGAGCCTGGAGCCTGTCTTCAGATTCTGTGATGCCCTCTCTCTCTCTCTCTGACCCTCCCCTGCTCACGATGTCTCTCTCTCAGAAATAAATAAAACGCTTTAAGAAAATTTTTTAAAAATAAATAAACCCAGAATTTTGTAAAGAGGTGAGCACAACAAACCTCCAGAATCCCAAGAATTAATGCCAATATCAGGAGACTACTTCAAGATGTGGCCTACCTGACTTTTAGACACTTCCCACACCAGGATCAAACACACTGGAAAACCAGAACACTTGCCAAAGTTATTTTTAGTTCACTTTTATCCCTCTTCGTCTTACCTGAAAATAAGGAAAATAAAACCCTATTTGAAGGCAGGAGTTGAAGCACTTGACTTGAGCCACTTCCTGCTTCCCCTCCCCCACCCAGGAGCTATAAATCTAAACACTGTGGAGAACAGGCAAGGTTTGGGGGGAAGAATATGCTATAAACAAAATGAAGGATAGTCCTGTTATAATGACTTAAGCCTTCCATGAGCCAAAACCCCAGAGAATTTCAGTAGTGCATGAGATCTGGAGTCCTCTACTTTCATCAAATTCTAACGGGCAATACTAGCAAGAAATCCATAGTAATTTCCTTTCCCTCGGACCCCTCACATCCCCAGAACGGGATTTCGTCCATAGCATAGTGGACACCAGCCTAGGAGTCAGGGAAAACGGAGTTACGTCTCTAACGGTGTGACCCAAGGGTAAGTCAAAATCCTCTCTGCACTGAGAGATTACACACAAGCTCACACTTAAGAAATAAATAACAGGTACTAGTACCAGGGCGTTACACCATGATTTGAAGCACATTAGTTCATCTCCCTGAGCCTTGATTTCTGCTTTTGTAAAGGGGGATAACCCCAGAAAGGCCGTCGTGAGCATTAAGTGAAATAAGGCTTAGGAAGTTCCTTGTCAAGTCCATTAAATGTTACCTGTTGGCATTAAGCGCTTGTCTCACATATTAGTTCCCTAAATCCACAAACATCCTGCGAGGCGACTTTCTTTCCCCCATCTCACAGAGGGACAAACTAAAGCTGGACTGCACAGAGGGCTGCGTGAATTGCAGAATATCGCCCCAGCTCGAGGACCAGTTGTTGAACCTCTCCGAGCCCCGAGGTGTGCAAGGAGCGCGGCAACGGCAGCGGCGGGAGCTGCGGCGGCGCTCGGGCCCGTGGGGAGCGAGGCACCGCCAGTCCTGCGCGCCTCGGGGAGCCAGCGGACCCAGCCGGATCCGGCGCGAGAGCCGGAAGAAGCCCGGGCCGGAGCCGGGACCGAGCCCGAGCCCGCCCAGGCCTCCCCAGCGCGGCCTCCGCTCCCTCCCCTCCTCCCCTCGCCCGGTGGGGCGGGGCGCGAGCACAAAGACTCCAACTTCCGAGCGGGCGCGGGCCCACGCCGCCAACTCCTGGCCCAGGCCCGGCCCGCGGGGAGGAATCGGCTAAGGAACGCCAGGTGGCTGGGGGGCAGGCGAGGATGGGCCGAGCCAGCGACCCAGGGCGGCGGGCCCGGGGGTGGAGAGGAGGTGCGGGCGGAGGGGGCCGGGAGTTACTCCCGCTCCCGGGACGCCCAGAATGGCCGAAGAAAGAGTTTCTAAAAATAGGCAGGAACTCGAGCGAAGAGGTGGGCAGCCGAAAAGGAACGAGGAACACTCCCCCGCACCTTTAAGGAGACGCCCGCGGTCCCCACTCACCCGCGCCAAGAGGTCTGGAGGAAGCCGCGCGGCGCGGAAGGAGGCGGTGCCGCCGCACTCGGGGGCGGAAGGGAGGGAGCGGAGGAGGAAGAAGGCGGCTCCGGCCGCTGCGTGAGGAGCAGAGCACACACGCGGGAGTCGCCCCCGCCGCTACCGCCCCCTCAGGTTATCCCAGCTCTGCCTGCCCTGCGCCCGCGCCGTTCGCGCGCCCCGCCGCACTGACAGCCGCGCGAGCCCCGCAGCCGCGAGTCCTTCCCTCGGCCGGCACCACTGAAGGGCGCGGGGGTGGGGGTGCCCTGAACAGCTTCCCTCAGCTTGGCCCCACCCGCCGCTCCTGCTCCGGTCCCGGGCCCTCCCTCCACGGCCCTGCCTCTTTCTCAAGAGAAGGACACGAGAACACAGCGCTAGGAGTCCGCAGCCCCACCCTGACACAGCCCGGCTTCCCGGGTGCAGGGGCTTTCCCCACCCGCTCAGCCTCGCTTTGGAAAGGTCCAGAGCTTCGGCGGGGAGAAGAGGAAGGCGGGGCCGGGGCGGGGCCTGACTGGGAGGAGGGACCGAGGTGGCAGCCAGGAGAGGCGGGGCTAAGGGCTGGAAGAGAGAGACTCTCCTACACCAATCAGCGAGCCGAAGACGGGGCAGGGCTGAGAAGAAGCGCAAGGCAGGTATGAAGACCACGGAGGCCGCGCCGAGCCAGGAGCCAGGGCCGTGCTTGAAAGCACGGGGATGTGGGTGGAGCTAAACGGAGGCCGTGCCCGTAGGAGGAGTCAAAGGTGGAGGGAGACCGAGGCTAGGCTGGGCGAAACGACACCCTTAGCGGAGGGGGCCGGAGGCGGGGCTGAAGAGAAACCCAGGAGGGAGGAAAAATTGAAGCGGGACAGAAGGAGGCGTGCCCGGAAGCCGAGCAGGAAGGAGGGGGCCCAAAGGTGGCCACTCTGGGGAAGAGCCGGAAGGAGGCGTGGCCCATAGCAAGAGCGCCTGGCTGGTGCTGAAGGTGGGCGGGGTCTGGAGACGGGGCCCAAACACGTTGGCGGGGGCTGTGCCGAAGAGTGCCGAAGAGGTGGCGTAGGGAGGAGCGTAGGTCCTTTCCCATTCAGCGAGCCAGGTGCGTGGACTGGGCGAGGTTAGCTCCTCGCAGCCTAGGCTAGGACTGGGCGGAGAGGCAGCAGTTGGGTCGGGTTTGGAGAGGAGGCGCCACTCCCACCTACAAAGGAGGTTAAATTGAAGTATGTTTCCCCTTCTGGGATGCGGGAAACGTTTGGTAACTTGATCTGGGTGGCGGTCTTCGCTTCTGAATATTTCTCCTGTCGGAAACTCTCACCCAAATCAGTGTTCCAGCCTCCCCGGAACAGGCGGAAGGGCCTTCAAACAGCACACGCAGCAGGTTGCCCTTCTGCCCTCAGCTACAGACTTCCTTGAAGGCTGGGAATTGTCCGAAATCTTGTGGCCGACCTGTGATTTCATGATCGTGTTTTTCACATCGCTTCCCCCAGAACCCGCCTAAGGTAACGGGAGTCCTAAGAACAGGGCACAGTTTGAATGGAATCCTGGCCCCGCGAGACCAGCAATTATAGCTTCGCTTGTATTGTTTGATGACGTCCGTGTCTGCTCTCAAAGGAAGAGAAATCAAATTGGAGAAATAGTGATACTGAGACCAAGGCCAGGAACGTTCTTCCTCCCTCTTCTAACTTCTGGTTCCGTCTTCTGCCTCAAATCTGTTTAAATATCACCTCCCTCAGAGAGGCCTTTCCCACCCCACCTAAAGATGTTCTCTAGTTTAGTCTCTTATTATTTTTCCTTCATGGTATTTCTTAGTCTTGTCATTTATTAGTCCGTTGGTGTGTTTTTGTCTGTCTCCCCACTAGAAGGTAAGTTCTTTGGTTGGGTACACCAAGCATCTTTGGTTGGGTACATCACGGATACCAGACCTAGTGCAATGTCTGGCATAGACTTGGTGTTTAATAAATTACACTTGTATGAATGAATCAGTCAATCAACCAGTTAAGGAATTGTTCCCTGCCAATCTCCTTGGCTCTGTTACTGACCATTCCTGACCCCTCACCTCCCTCCCTTTGTACTGGCCTTACCATGCACACTTGAATACACCACAGTCTCGCAGCACCCTCAGCTATAGCACATTCTCTACTTGGACTGCTCCTCCCCTTCTGCCTAGATGCCTCCTGTTCATCCTTCAAAACTCAACTGAGAAACCACCTCTTCTGAAAAGCTTTCTCTGCCCTCCCATCCGTTCCACCACCAGGTGCTCACCCCTCCCTGGGCAAGTGATAATCCTCTTTCTACTGGCACTCAGGATTATATTCATGGCTTCAAAGGTCCTACGTGATCTACTCTCTGCTACCTTTCTGCTTATCCTCTCTTGTACTGCTTGCACCTCCTCTCACTCTGCTCCAGCCATACTGGGCTCCTGGCTGTCCTTCTGACACCCCAAGCATCCTGCTAACCGCAGGACCTCTGCACTTGCTGTTGTGTCTGCCTCAAACACTCTCCTCTCAGATGTGAGCATGGCTCACTCCTTCAGATTTCCACTCAAATGTCACTTGCTCAGAGAAGTCTTCCCTGGCCCACATTTAAAGTAGCAACACCTACTTCTCTGTGCCTTTTCCTGCTGGATTTTTCTTCATAGCACTTATTACCGCCTTAAACACTGTTTGTTTGTTGTCTCTCTCCCATCCCCACCTTCTACTATAGTTTTTATGATCTTCACAAAGACAGGATTTTGTCTGTTTTGCTCATTCCTCAGTCCCTAGAACTAATATTTGTTGAATGAATGACTATGAATTAAACAGAGAAGTGTTAGGAATACTCTGTGTTGGGGCGCCTGGGTGGCTCAGTCGGTTGGGTGTCCGACTTCGGCTCTGGTCATGATCTCACAGTTCGTGTGTTCGAGCCCCGCATCGAGCTCTGTGCTGACAGCTAGCTCAGAGCCTGGAGCCTGTTTCGGATTCTGCATCTCCTTCTCTCTCTGACCCTCCCCTGCTCATGCTGTCTCTCAGAAGTAAATAAAATATTTTAAAAATTAAAAAAAAAAAAAGGAATACTCTATGTTGTCCAGAAGAATTCTTGAAGATCACGGTATGAAGGGAGATGTTTCTGAAGAATATGCTGGCAATACGAGCTGAGGTGGTACATTTACTAGTTGCCAGGCAATGTGCTAAACACTTTTCAAATATATTTAATTCCCATAACAGCCCTAAAGGTAGGTCCTATTATAATCCCTACTGTACAGATGAGTAGACTGTGGCACAGAGGTTACCTTTCCCAAGGTCACATAGCTACTAAGTGCTAGAGTCAAGTTCTAGAGGCTGCATGCTGAACACTGTACTAACCTGCCTCCTAATTATCAAGGACCTACTATTGTTGGTCCAATAAAGGAGAGGAATGAAGCAGAAACATTCTTTTGCCTTCAGGACACATGGTATAGGCTATGATGCCTGGAGTTGTGGCAGAATTTTTTCTTAGCCACTGTATTAGGGTTCTCCAGAGAAACAACCAATAGGATATATAGGTATAGATGGAAATAGGTGATAGGAATTGACTCACATGGTTATAGAGGCCAGGAATTCCCATGATCTGCCATCTGTAAGCTAGAGAACCAGTAAAGCCAGTGGTGTAATTCAGTCAAAGTACAAAAGCCCATGAATTAGCAATGGTGATGTCCAATGTCCTGAGCAAGAGAAGATGGATGTCTCATTTCAAGCTAAAAGCAAGTTTGCCCTCCTCTGCCTTTTACTCTATTCAGCCTTCAACAGATTGGATGATACCCACCTGCATTGTTGAGGGTGATCTTAGTGTACCAATTCAAATGCTAGTCTCTTCCAGAAACACCATCACAGACACACTCAGAAATGTTTTTACCAGCTCTGTGGACATACCTTAGCTCAGTAAAGTTGACACATAAAATTGACCATCAGATCCACCTAGAGGGAAAACCAGCTAAAGAAGTAAAGCCATCACGTGGAGGAAGACAGGAGTAAGAAAATTCTAGAAGAAATGGGCCAGAGACCTGCTAAAAACATACCTGAAACCTGACCTACCTCTAGACTTTTCCATGAACCAATACGTCTTTAAGTTTGAATAGTTTTAGTTGGTGATTTTGTAACTTGCAATGAAAACATTTCCTGGGAACCTGGGTGGCTCAGTCAGTTAAGTGTCTGACTCTTGATTTTGGCTTAGGTCATGATCTCATGGTCATGAGATCTAGCTCCTCACTGGGTGTGGAGCCTGCCTAAGATTCTCCCTCTCTCTCTGTCCCTCCCCTGCTCATGCACACTCTCCCTCTCCCTCTCTCTTTCCCTCTCTCTCAAAAAGGAAAAAAAGAGAAAAAAGAAGAAAAGAAAACAGGTTTCCTAACAGATGAGTAGGGTTCAATAGTTGGAGGTATAATGCCTCACATTTTTATGGGGCATTTGTTTACAGAATGCTGGGAGGTATTCCTGACAGGGAATAGCAAACATAAAGGCAGGAATGAATGTAAGAGCTTGGGGTTTCTGCAGCACAGAGTATGAGCTGAGATGGAAAAGATGAGATATAAAAGGTAGACTAGAACTAGTATCTGGAGGAATTGCTATCTACATTCAACTAAGTAGATGGTGGTAACCACTAAAAAGTTTCAAGCAGAGGTTGCTTTAAAATGATAAAGTGTCAGGGCATATGGGTGGCTTAGTCGGTTGAGAGTCCAACTTCAGCTTAGATCCTGATCTCCCAGTTCATGAATTTAAGCCCTGCATCAGGCTTGCTGCTGTCAGCACAGAGCCCACTTCAAATCGATCCTCTGCCCCACTCTCTCTCTGCCCCTCCCCAACTTGTGTTCTCTCTTTCAAAAATAAACATTTAAAAATGATAAAGTGTCAAGCTTGGAAGAAACTTTAGAAGTAATCTGATTCAACTTTGGGATCTGTTCTGTCTTCATTTCACAGATGAGAAAATGTGACCTGCCCAGTGTCTCACAGATGGTAGACAAAGGAATCAGGATTTGAACCAAAGGCCTTCTGAGTCTTTACATTCAACCACTTCCTCTCCCCACGATTAGAATTATTTCTGCCCTGTGAGCTCACCCTGAATGGGTGAATCCCTCTTCAAAATTTGGCAGTAATGTCTATAAAGCTACCCCAGCTAGGATTAGGAAGATGGATGTAGAAGGGGAGAACAGAAGGACCTAACAGGTGTCTTCATTGGAGGCACAGAACGAAGGCAGGTGAATGAAGTGGAAGGAGCAGATGAGGGAGAGGTGATAGGGAGAGAATCAGCAGGAGCTGTAGGAGCAGATAGAAATGGAGGGATGTAAGAAGTCATTGAGGAAGACTTGTTGTTAGAACAGGAGTTGAGAAATCAGATGCCTCAGGGCCAGGCAGGTACCATAAATGAGCAAAGTGAGTTAGGTGTAAGATAATAAAGAGTAGGGGCGTCTGGGTGGCTTAGTCGGTTAAGCGTCCGACTTTGGCTTAGGTCATGATCTCGCGGTTCGTGGGTTCGGGCCCCGCGTCGGGCTCTGTGCTGACTGCCAGCTCAGAGCCTGGAGCCTGTTTCAGTCTGTGACTCCCTCTCTCTCTGACCCTCCCCTGCTCACGCTGTCTCTCTCTCTCCTAGAAATAAATAAAACATTAAAAAAAAAAGATAATAAAGAGTAATAGGGCCTGTAGCAAGCTGGGAGTTCAGGCTCCTAGAGGAGGCAGCTATAGGATGGAGGTGCCCAGTATTGCCAGGTGCCAGGTTTTAAAAGAAAAAAGAAAGAAAGAAAGAAAAGCTCTAAGTCCAAAGTTTTATACGAAATCATCTGGTTTTTAAGTGCTGGCAACTATTTCAAATTGTTTAAAACAAGAGCACTGCCCTGGACAAAAGACACACCTCTTAGGGCTGAGTTTGGCCTATGAGCTGCTAGTTCATGCCTTCTAATCAATTTGGGTCCAAACCTCCCATCACTACCTACCAGCTGTGTGCTCTTAAGCAATTTACTCCACCTCTCAAGACTCAGGTTCTTATCTGCAAAATAGGGACAATTAATTCCCCACATTATAGAGTTGCTGTAAGGATTTTTTAAAAAATAAATGCACGTAGGAGCACCTGGGTGGCTCAGCCTGTTAAGCATACAACTCTTGATTTCGGCTCAGGGCATGATCTCAGGGTTTGTGAGATCAAGTCACTCATGGGGCTCCAAGCTGTCAGTGCTGAGCCTGCATAAGATTCCCTCTCTCCCAATAAAAGGCATCAGAATTGGTAAAGAGGAAGTAAAACTTTCACTTTTTGCAGACATGATATTCTCCATAGAAAACCCAACAGACTCCACCAGAAGCCTACTAGAACTGATCCATGAATTCAGCAAAGTTGCAGGATATAAAATCAATGCACAGAACTCGGTTGCATTTTATACACCAATAATGAAGCAACAGAGAAATCAAGAAACTGATCCCATTCACAACTGCACAAAAAAACCATAAAATACCTAGGAATAAACCTAATGAAAGATATAGGAGATCTGTATGATGAAAACTATAGAAAACTTATGAAGGAAATTGAAGAAGACACAAAGAAATGGAAAAACATTCCATGCTCATGGATCAAAAGAATAAATATTGTTAAAATGTCATTACTACCCAAAGCAATTTACACATTCAGTGCAATCAATCAAAATTGCACCAGCATTCTTCTCAAAACTAGAACAAACTATCCTAAAATTTGTATGGAACCACAAAAGAGCCCAAATAGCCAAAGTAATATTGAAGAGAACGAAAGCGGAAGGCATCACCATCCCAGACTTTAGCCTCTACTACAAAGCTGTAATCATCAAGACAGTATGGTAATGGCACAAAAACAGACAGAAAGACCAATGGAATAAATTCCTAAATTCCTGCCTCCCACACTAATGCACTTTCCAGTGGGAATGATGTTCACCCCTTCCTGTCCACCAGTTTGAGAATAAACTCTTTCTTGGTGCTTCCCTAATTGGGGTGAGGAGTAGCCCCACCCCCAGCTTTGACCCAAATCTCCCTCCCCACACTGGCATATAGACAGGATTCTCAGTAGCCAATAAGGGGGGGAGGGGTGGGGGGTGGAGGTTGAACTTAGAGAAGTAGAAAAGGAATCTATCTGGAAGATATTAGGAGGTCAGAGAGCTGAAGTGACAGGGTCAGAGACTTAGATGTTGCTAGGACTCCTCCCTAGTCCTTGTCTCTCCTTCTCTCTGCATATAAGCTTTTCTCAAGGCTGAACACTCCACTGCTGCAGCTCACCACTCAACTCTTAGCTGCTCCACCAGAGAGCCTGAAGCTTTCTGTTTCCAGTCTTAATGACAGAATTTCAGTCCTTAAGAAGGACTTCGATTGACCCAACATGAGTGGGTGCTCATCCTTAGACCAATTATCCACTGCTGCTGAGATCAGGTTACTGTGACTGGCCCAGCTGAAGCCAAGTGCCCACTCTGTAACCAATCATTGTCAATAGGGATGTGGGATGGATACAAGGATGGCATTGGAGAGGCACCTCGGTGGCTCAGTCGGTTAAGCGTCTGACTTTGGCTCAGGTCATGATCTCACAGTCCGTGGGTTCTCACGGTCCATGGGTTTGAGCCCCACATCAGGCTCTGTGCTGACAGCTAGCTCAGAGCCTGGAGCCTGCTTCAGATTCTGTGTCTCCCTCTCTGACCCTCCCCCGCTCACCCAGCCTTCTCTCTCTCTCTCTCTCTCAGAAATAAATAAAGCATTAAAAAACAACAACAAAAAAGATGGCATTGGAACCACAGGGTCAGAAAAGGGGAGGAGCATTTCCTCATGAAGCTTATCTCATTTCCCCTGCCACACACACTTCCCCCTAGCACACTTGCCCCTGGCTGTGTTTAAATGAAAGGCTCCACTCTCCAAGCTATTAGAGAACACACATCCAGCTTACCTAGAGAATGGAGGCATGTCTTGTCAATCTTTGTATCCCTCCAACATAGCCAAACAAGAAGCCCCCATAAGTGCTGTCCAATTGGATTGGACTGATCTGATCCTTGTAGGTATTTAGTCCAACTCACCCGTTTTACAAACAAATGAGACCCAGAGAGGGTAACTCCTGTGTCATGAATTCTGAAAACTGCCCATCAGAAAGAAAAGTTGCAAAACCAGGGTGGGGAGACCTCTCGTGTTGACTTCTACAGTCCAGGGCAGGTTAAACTCTGTGTTTAATCCTTGTCACTATGGACATCTGAGACTAAAAGAAGACATTTCTCATTTGGATGCACTCATTGGCAAATCTTAGTCAGGAGCCCAAATCTCCCAAGTGTTCAGTAATTATGACATCAGAGCCAGAAATCGAATGAACACACCTCAGTTCCAACCCAACCCTGCCTCTTCCTGGACAAGTTCCTCAAACTCTCTAAGGCCCAATTTTCTCCTCTGTAAAATGGACATAAATTACATTTATCTTGAAAGTTGGGAAGACTAACAATAATGTGTATAGTGTCCGTGACACATAGAAGGTCCTCAAAAAATAGTAAGCTCTTCTAATGATTGTTGTTAATGATAAAGAGGATAAAAAAAAAAAAAAACAAGAGCTCTGACTTCTCAAAGGAAAGAGAATTAATTGTTCCTGAGGCTCTTCTCCTGGAGAAAATAAATCCATCTTTCCTGAACAAAAGAATTCCCTTTGTTAAGGAGGAAGAAATGAAGGGAGAAAAGGAGGGAGGGGGGCAAGCTGTCACTGTCTCTACCTTCCCCTGAACTTTGCTCTTCCTCTACCTCAAACTCTGCTCCATCCCACTGCAATGCTGAGCTCACGTCACATACATGCTATTGTGAGACCACCAGCTTTGAGCTATCCTAGCTGGGAGAGGGGAAGTACATGTAGCAGAATCAAGAGGCACCCCGCCCCCCATGACAGCAGAAAGCTCTCATAGGTCAATGGAAGGGTGTTTGTCTCACTCCTCACTGGCTCAGCCCTGGAGCCCTATCTCTCCTCTCTTCCTTACTACTAGGTCTCCAAATTTATCTATAGTAGACAGGCTGGCATCTTTAAAGTATGATCTTCATCAAGTAGGAAGCAAATCATTCCATACCTTCCCTCCCAATGCCTCCTTCACCAGGTACTATCAGCCTCCTAATAAGAGGGGATACCTCCTCCCACTTCCCAGTGACCGTCTCCACCACCACCACCCCCAGCTCCACCCTCACCACTGCATCCATGAGTTGCAACACCAAGATCAGATGCAGTGACATTAATTGAAATTGACATTAGGGGCTCACTTGGTCAAGCAGAAGCACATTAGAAGAAATATAAACAAAGATTTTGTGTCTGTGGCATTTGTTCTAACAAGAAAAGCCATCTCTAGAGCATCTTATTCAAAAAAGATTGAATGTCCAGGAAATGACAGATACATGTCACCCCCTTCCCAACCCCAATATTCAGAAGATTCACACACACTTCCCAAGACTTTCCTATCAACTTTACTTCAGCCCTTGCCTCCCAGGTGCATTTCTGTAAGAGCCATCCACCACATTCCCCTTTATGTTCTCTATCTATTTCTCCCAAGCCACTTCTCCGTATCAGATGTTTTTATTTGCTGCTGTACCTCAGGAATTCTTGACCAAATGGCCCAAAAATTTAGGTGGGATCCAACCAGGCGACCTGAGACTTAAAGAATCACAACTGGAAAAGACAGGAAGATCCTCAAGTACTCGGGTATCTGCGTAAAGAACATAAAATGTTCTTTAAATTGTGCTCTAAATGGCACATTATCTTTTTATGGGTATTAATGGGTGGTGTAGATTATAGATACTATTTTTGTCTGTATAGTATCATTTTCCCTTTTCTTGATATCAGCACCTGTCTTTCCTATGAACCTCCACTCCTGTTCTTGATCCAGGTCATAGAGAGTGTTGTTTCTAAAGTCAGACTGCCTGGGTTTGAATCCTGGCTCTGCCCTTTATTAGCTGTGTGAACCTGGGCAAGTTTCTTAACCTCTCTGTGCCTCGTACAAGAAATACAGAGAATAATATCTACTTAATAGAGTTGTTGGGGGGATT